TGTAGCATAGTCATATGTATAAAATCGATCGCAGACACAAAAGATTGACATCGAAATCTTATAACGGAAACAGGATTATATATCTCTTAGCCCAGCACAGATTTGTGCCACGTGCGATATGAACAACGCGTATCATATTAGGGCTGAGATAGCCCCATATGTTGCACGAGATGGCTCTTTTTATATTTCATACAGCTTCCTAGGATAAAATTATTTTTTTAATAAGACAAAAGGATTGGTCATTTTAAGTTCAGTTGGTCAATTTTATTTTATCTTATTATTATATATTTTATTTTATCATTGGAGAATTATTTCATTTATTACACTGCGCGACAAAATGGCACTTTTATATTTTTTAAATCTACTTAGAATTGTACTTTTTTTGATTCTCTATTTTATTTACAACTGTCCAGTTGAGGACATTTAATAAATTTGAGGAATTTACAATTGTCAGTCGTAAAGGGACATTGTATACTGATTGGGCATGTTGGAAAAACAACTCAATAGTTGTTTTCCCATTCGTTATAATATTAACAATATTTTAATAATAAATATATAATCTTAACTATTTACTTATAAAATAATTGTACATTGATTTTAAATATACCTTCCGTTTTCCGTAACAGCTCCTGTTTTTGCGTTTAGGGAAACTACTCCCATTAGTCGTTTTGGCTATGATTATCGCGGTGTAAGAAATAGCTTTTTTAGAAGAGTTTAGGAATACCAAATTTAAAAGTTTTATCTGCTCTTTTGGGTATGGCTCCGACTCTAACAATAAGATGTGTGCATAATCCAAATAGTTTGTGCTGAATACGGTTTCAACCAATTTAAAATTGAATTGCGCAATCAAGATAAAAATATAGACCTTGATGCCATGAAATGAAATATGTGGTATTAACTTCCCGTAGGGTAAGTTATAATAATGGCCCAAAAATCGAAAATGGAAATTTTTGCATATCTTTACGTTTCAGAAGTTGCTGAACATTTTGGCATGTATATGTGGATACAATTTTTCGTCGACGTTTTCGAGAGTACCGCTCAACCGATTGAAATGATTGAAAAGGCAGTCTATTCCTACTGAAGGATTAGTGCTGATGAGTTTTTGGGAAAGATCGATCCAGCCGTCTCCGAGATATGAAGCAAAGCTTTTTGCGAGCACCGGGCATCTGATTGGAATGATTAAAAAAACATTGAATTTTTAATGATGGGGAGAAGTGGTGATTAGCTTTTCGCAAAGGCAGGTTCACCCATTTTGAAGATACGGAGCTAAATGAGCAAAAAATTGCTGTTTTTGAGAGAATTAAGTATCTGATTTGAATGACTCAAAAACCTTTCTGCTTTTGTTGACAAAGTGCTTGCTTTTGGAATTATTTTGTGTATTTCGAAAACAATTCGGATTTTAATATTAATTCTGGCTAAAGTTCTAAAGCTCACTTATATAATTTAAATCATTCTAATTTTGCAATTCAGTTTATATAATTCCTATAAATATTAGGCAATTTATAATAATCTATTTATAATCTATTTAAAAACATTTATTATTCCTCGTTACGGTACGGGAAGCTATTTGCCTTAAGACACAATGCCATACACCACTAGTTTTTCATTGTAATTTAAGGTAAAACTAGCACATTGGTATATCTCAAAAACTAGAGCCATTAGCAAAGTTCTGTTACTTTTTCGATCATCCTGCTCGAATTATTTAAAAACTATCATAACATCTATGGAAAATTTTTTGACTGTCACGCAGTGTAATCAATTGTAATAAATGTTATTGCGCGCTCTTATTGTTAAGCTTGTCCGTAATAAATATCGAAAGCTACATTATTATTACACTACATTGCCAAAAAATACAAAACAAAAAAATTTTTTTATGCACTAGCAAAAATTATTTACAATCATTTCTAATAAACAATATAGTCTAGACCACTTTATACATCCACGACAATTTTTTTCCAATATCTTTTATGGTTGCAACAAAACGTCAGTTTGAAAAATCGGGTCACAAGTGACATTTTATCAATATATTTAGAAAAGTGGTATACCAGATTAATTCGAAAAGACCTAAAATAACGTATAAATCGTTCAAATACCAAGATGGAGCCGATTTGCTGCGAAAAGGCGCCCATACCCTTTATTCATTACTTGAATACATTAATCGCATTGAAAGAGCTTGCTATTTTATATATATTTACTTTAATTAGTTTATATCTTGCATTAAAATTAGAAGGGCTTCGAGCCAAGATTAAAAGTTCCAAATTGCAAATTGAAATGCGCATCGAAGAGTTGGAATGTTAAGATATTGAGAAATGCTTGTGCAAAAAGCTTAACTGTGCCAAAAAGTACTATTGTTGTATTGTTCTTCACTAACAATGAGCTCCAGTTTTCGTTTTCGTGTTTTAACTTCAAGGAGTTGTTTTGTCAGCAAATAAATAGTAATTATTTTATAATAATAGAATGTAAGTGAAGACAATTTGAAAACAATTAATTGTTGAAATTAAATCTGTAGAGTAGTCTAATATTGAAAAAATTATACCTTAACAATCTTTAAAATTATAAAAATTAAGAAATTTTAAAATAAGAAAATGGTTATTACAGCAACAAATTTATATAATCAACAATTTATAAGAAAAACATTATAAATTACAAGACATTAAATAAAAAACTACCACAATTTCAAACACTTGGAATATGAAACACTATCGTATATTCAGGTACAATTAACAGAGGTATAAAACACAAAAACTAGTGGGTATCGTGCCTTCAGGCAAATTGCTGGAACTTCCCGTACCGTAATTTAAACATTTTGAAAGCTTTAATTTTTCTTGAAAATTGAAAAAAAAAAATTGAGAATTTTAATTTTTTTTGAAAATTTTTATTTTTTTTAATATTCAAAATTTTTAAAAATTTTGAAATTGTTTCACCTGTTTTATAGACGAAATATAAAAGTGTGTGAGCGCGGGATCGCAGTTTAACGGTTAAACATTATAAAGCTTGGTACGGAACCCATAAAAATTCAAAGACAATTTGTACCTACTTTTTCTTAAAATCTATATAAAATATCTGATAATTTGATGTGCGTATGTCTAATGATTGTTTTTGACGACAAATGGCTTTTTAACTTTTTTCATTGGATCTCCGAAACCATTGCACCTGCCTTCCTAAAAGTTTAATGAATGACAGGTAGAATTTTTACCAAGATTATAGATTATATTTTGACAATATAGGAAAATTAGGCAATTGTACTATTTTCGTGTTCGATTTTACAGGCCCTAGTAGATAATCACTTATCGTAAAAAGGACTTTCTTCGATTTTAATATAACTGTTGTGAGCTCTAATAAAAATCTGGAAAATCTGGAAATATAGGCTAATTTATTATATTTAGCAAACCCTGACTGACGTGTCGAAAAGCAATAAATCATTATGTCGCATTGCAAATTTTTACTTTAACTCTATTATGGCACAATTTTCTGAGCATTACAGGAGCATTCATTATTCGCGTGTGACGCGGCAGAATTGGACGGAATAATGCATAGGTGCGCATAAATAACACCATTAAATGACTATTTTTAGCGAACAAATTCACTGTTCTTGCTGTTATGCAGTACATTAAAATAATTATCAAAATTACTAAAAGGAAAGTCTAACTTTTACACAAATAGTGAATCAAACTTTCGACTTTCGTTGGACAATAAATTGATAAATATAGTATATATTCAGACATATTATTTAAATATGTTTTCTTCGTCTGTAGAATATGAGTTCAAACATAATTTTTGAAATTCGATGAAAAAATACATATTATCACATTTTAAAGAAAAAAAACGTCGAGGCAAATCTGGAAAATATCATTAAGATTAATTTATTCTTAAACCCGGTACAAAAGGCCTTTTTGGTGACTACCAAAAGCTTTATAAAGTCTATTCATATTACAATGTAATCCATAAATATTTGAATAATATGATGGAAAATATTGTTTTTACTTTTTAGGAGCAATTAGGGAAAATACGGAAAAATGACGAAGTGACCTTATTTAAAAATTGGCAAGATTTATTAACGTTTCCGCGACTGTATAACTTGAAGAAATACATAATTATAATCCTGTCAGATGATTAGCATCATTGACATAGTTTTGTCACTGTAACCAGTTCAGACGTGTTTTGCGCCTTGATTTTGAGGGTGTTTATTCATGTTTTATTGGGACATATTTATATTGATATTATATTATTAATTTAGTACTGGACTAATAATGCAAATAAATTTTATTGCAATAATCAGGTGTGTGGTGGAATTTTGATTAAATATTCATTTTTGTTCAATTTTGGACAAAATGACATACTTATACGATGGACAAAATGACATAGTACTTTTTTGCAACCATTACAGGGCCAAGAAAAAAAAATCTGTTAAAGATAATTAACTTTCAACGTCTATTAAAGTATGCTAGAACTAATTACTAAAAACAGATCGAAAGATCCTTCGGTAAAATGAGAGATTGTGCATTTGTTGCACAACTTTCTTTTTTCGTTCTGAGCCCGGCGAGGATTGTTTACGACGTAGGACTTGTACACCATTTTGGTTCATGCTTCGTGTGCTAAATGTCCCAAAGAGGGAAAACAATTTATATGTGAAGTGCTTTCTTAAAAATTAGCATCCCAGTATGTCCTCACGCCATATGTCATTTTGCACTCTATGGCCAAATGGTTTTGTAATAAGTTGCATTTCACCTTAATATGTATGTCATTATAGTTACTGGTAGTCAATGAATCAAAATTGAGTAAAAATGAGTGAGACTGGTTATAATATCATTAAATATAGAAATATCAATTAAAGCAAAACACAAGTACTTCTTTACTTACTTCCCCTACATGATGAACTTTGTTGTTATATATCAGCGTGAGGTAATAAGCCAAAACACTGAATTCATTATCTATATATAATATTTACATTTATATATATATATATATATATATATATATATACTGTGTACTGTATGATATTATACTTGCCTTAACGAATATTTACTATATCTTTCCGGCAAAGCAAATTTGGATGGCAATGTAAATTGAGCTGTCGACCCAAAAGTTTTGTCAGATCCTGCGAGATGACTTTCAGATCTCCACTGTATGCCACCACTACCTGTAAATGATATGTTTTACGATATAATTATTTTTTAATATTTCTTCAATATTGATAACGTTTTAATAAAATATATACTGAAAACCACCATTTAGATGATTTTGCAAGACCGAACCAAAAATGTATAATGCATGATAGGGGCAATATGTTTCAAAGTACAGGCACCGGCCTAAAGTGGTGCAAGAATCGTATTAAGCATGATTGTCTTAACCGGATTCTAATGTAATTTTATTCACTGTATTTTAGTTAAAAATATCATTAAACCTTTTCAGGAATACGCATTAATGATAGTGTTATAAAATGTATAACAGTAAAAAATTGAGATATCCATTGAATTGATAGTTGAATATAATTGTGTAATATTATGATTGGGCAAATTACAATTTAATATTATTTTATTGTAATTATTGAATTGTAAGTTTATTTTATTATTTTTCAAAATAAAAATGAAAAAAATCTATTGGAAAATGAAAAAAGACACATCACACATTGTAATATTATAAGGTGACCATACGTCTGGGTTTGGTCCAGTAATATTTGTCACGGATTTTGAGTCCAGGATTGTCCCCGGTTTTCAAAAATTATGGGCTCGAACTGGATATTCGCAATTACTTAATAATAAAATTACAACTACTCATCAAATATCTGAAAATGTTATATACATCGAGTATGCTTACAGTACGTTATGAATGAGAAAATTTCTGAATAAGAACTTCAAAAGGTAAAAAAAACTCCTTACATTAAATATTTCGAACCTTTATTTTCAATTTTATAAAAATTAATACAAGTAGTGTATCTATAAAACTACCCAAAAGTAGTTTTGATTTCCTGGTGTAAGTGCTAATTTCTTCAAGATAATTATGCAAAAAATTGAATAGAATTTTATACAAAGTTTAAAAGCGAAAAAACAAATAGATTCAAAAATAAAAGATATAGCTTTTTATTCGAATAAATAAGTTTTTACCAGAAATCAGTATTTCTGACTAAAAAAATATATTTATTTAAAATATACTGATTTTTATTGCATCCTTATATAGTATATGTTATTGAAAAACTATATTTAAGTTATTTGACATACGTCCCGGATTATCATAACTAAAAATTACCGTCCCGGTTTTGACTTTTTAAAATATGGTCACCTTACTTATAGATAATCGAAAATGTAGTGGCTTTTTGTTCTGTATTAGTAGAGTAGTGGAATCTCAGTTTTATCGTGCACTGTAATTGCTGCAAAATGTTCTATCGCTGTAGGATTAATTTTTGTGATTTCTATAGATTGTTAGGATCATGCTCAATAAGCAATAATTAGTCCTATCAGTATGGGATAATATCTACGCGTATTCTATACATTTAATAAACTTTTCATATTTGAATATCGAGTAATTAGACATACCACAATGACCAACAATAAGTATGAGAAGGTTTTTTTTATACACAATCGCAATATTAACCCTTTTGCTACGGGAGTGCTTTCTGCAGAAGTGTCGCTGCTGTACGGGAACAGCGTGCCGTGTGAACTCAGTTGCACAACGATCAATTTTTATCATTGTCAATAAAAAAGTTTTAAAAATGAAAAATTACGCTTTTAATGAACTAAAAATTCCAAAAAAAATAGAATTCTTAATAGTTTAACTCATAGTGACAAAACTTGAAGCAAAGACAAACACAACATGTCGTCCAGGGACGACATCCGCATACACAGCAAGTCATGTAGATGTCATGCTGTCGTTTTGGGTATATTCAGTATTTCTGAATTATTTTATAAGTATACAAAATAAATTTTTCATTACAATTGATTTTTATTTACCCGGTAGTGCGGAGATATCGGTTTGGGCGCCGCTTTCCCGACGCGGTCCAGCATTCGCGCCATGTAGTATTGGCCTGGAGGGACGCCTGGCAGCATTCGAGACTCCTGATCCGAGGCGTGGTGCACGCGAAGGATATCCGGATATGCCTAATGCTTCGCGGTGAATTATTGGCCTGAAAGCAAAACGTATGACGTTGATCAATTATCAAAAGTAAGACCATTAATAGGTGTACAACTTTGCTTCCTTCGCGACGTTGTTCCGAAATTTGATTTATTGTAAAGAACTTTTCAGTAAAAGCGACGGAAGCGAAGTTGTAAGCCAAACAAGTGATATCTTTTAAATAATAATCAGTTATTATATTATATATTATATATATATATTAGGGTGGTCCTTAAAATGGTCATTTTCGAATTTCCTTGCTCCCAGGGGCTCAAATGGTTCCAAATAGATAAAAAACAATTCTCTGAAAGTTTTAGCTCTTAATATTAACGTTTAGATAGAGCGCAATTCAATCAAAGTTTGTATGGAAAGAGCATGGAAAAAATTTTGAAAATTTAAAAAAAATGTTTTAGGTATAACTTAGCGACAAATGAATGTGTTTTATTTATTCATTTGTTCGCTAAATTACATCTAAAAAACATTTTTAAAATTTTTGAAAATTTTTTCATGCTATCTCCATACAAAACTTTGATTGAATTGCGCTCTATCTAAACGTTAATATTAAGAGCTAAAACTTTCAGAGAATTGTTTTTTATCTATTTGGAACCATTTGAGCCCCTGGGAGCAAGAAAATTCGAAAATGACCATTTTAAGGACCACCCTAATATATATATATATATATATATATATATATATATACATATACATATATACATATACATATACATATACATATACTAGATGACCCGACAGACGTTGTCCTTTACCCACTTCTACAATTTAAGTTCCAAATTTTTTTAATATCCTATCCTATACTTCTTAACATTCTACTTAATGCCCTTTCATTTATGGTCTTAGCATAAGCTATATACGTATTGGAAACTGCAGTTTTTTTATCAATATCAGAAATTCAGAAAGACTAAATGTAGTATCTACAGTAAAATTATATCTACTTTGTTATATCCAACCAATATAATTGCTTCAATAATTTATATAATATATAATAGTCTATAATTTTTATAACCGCGTGCCATATAAGTTGAATTACTGTCTAAATTACAACTAATAATTTAATAATTATTTACTATTACATTATTGCTTTAGTGGTCGGGAAATCTTTCGGAACCATTACCCCAAAATGTTTTTGGGCAACCTCTCATTACCCCATAAAAAAATTAACTAAAAGAGCCTATAATTGGAATCTGTTTGCAACATATTTCTGTATAATCTGCCATAACCCGCAGAACGGTTAACGGTTTGCTACATTGTTTGTTACTTCTAAACTTTGAAAAAGGCTGAAACAAATGGTTTGAAGGAAACAATAAGTAAAAACTATATTCTTTATGAATAAATATATTTTTCATGATAATCGTACTAATACATAAACGTTGTGTATGGCATCATGCCTTAAGACAAATTGCTGGAACTTTCCGCACAGTGACGAAATGTTCGAGAAGTTTTAAATGTTTTCAATTAGATTATTATAAATATTGCACATTGTATAATATTCTAAAGATATATATAAGCTGAATTACAAAGTTAAAATTATTTATTTGATGTATATAAGTGAGTTTTAGAACTTTAGCCAGAATTAAAATTAAAATCTGAATTATTTTCGATATTAAAAAAAATTTTTTTGAAAAAAAACATTGAAATATTTTCTTTTCCAAAAGTAATTGTTTTTTCAACACAAACAGCAAGTTTTTTAATCATTCAAATCGGATGCTTAGTTCTCTCAAAAACTGCCATTCTCGTGCATTTAGCTTTGTATCTTCGAAATAGCTGGACCTGTCTTTGCCAAAACCTAATCACTACCTCTCCCAATCATTACAAATTGAATGTTTGTGGATCATTCAAATGGGATACTCCGTTCTATCAAAAACTTGATTTCTATTTCCTCACTCTTTACTCCGTATCTCCGTAACGGCTGGACCTGCCTTTGCCAAATACTAATCAGCATATCTCCCTATCAATAAGAACCAATTGTTGAATAAACCATTCAAATCGGTTTATCCGTGCGCCCGAAAACGTGAACGAAAAATGCGGACACACAAAACACACACACACACACTCACATTCATTTTTTCTGAGGTATGGCAAAATGTTCAGAAACCTCTGATACGTGAAGAAATGCAAAAATTTTCATTTTTGATGGTCGGCCCATTACTATAACTTACCCTACGGGAGTTAACAATAATGCCACAAGTGACAATAAACACGCACAAATGTAAGAACATTACGATTTGGAGAAATGGTGTTGCTTCATCTTTGACACAATTTTAATACAATCTTCGGCATTCAATCTATTTCTCCTCGATTCTATGTTTATCAGACTGGAAAAGTTTGGTTTGCACAAATATGTGGTTCCAAATAGCAGCAATTTTCTTACCGCTTCTTCATGTGCTATTTCAAAACCCTTTGCAGCTTTTGGCATCCAAAAACATAACAGGTTTTGTTCACTCCCAAATTTAATGCGTGCTTCGGTATTAAAACGAAGTTCCAGAATTGATTCTGCCAAACCTGCTGGTATTTCCGGTATCATGAAAGTTTCACATTTAAAAGGATCTACAATCCAACTCACAATACGTGTATCCAGATCTGGAAAGTAATCAAAAAACCGCTCTCCCAGGTGAAGTAATTTTTTTACAATCCTCCAAAAACAAAGCTAACCTTGGAAAGGTGCTATCTTGTTCTCTTCTACTTTCTGCCTCCAATATTTTAGCTTTGACTCAAATGCTGACAATATTTCTCTCGCTGAAATTGTATTATTATGCTTTCCCTGTAATTCTTTGTTTAATATATTTATGCTCTCAAAAATGTCTGCTAAATATGCGAGATATGCAACCCAGGAAAAGTTTTTTAAAATTTTCAGCAAGAATATTTTTTGAAAAACCATAGAGATTTCAGCTTCATTTTTAAGAGTCCATACTCAATTTAAAATATTTTTGCGAGAGAGCCACCTTACTTCTGTATAATAAAGGAGGCGGCTGGTCTCAGCTTTACCATCCTGACATAATTCACAAAACAGCCGCGTATTTAGTGCAAGTCTCTTGATAAAATTTATAATCTTGATAACATCATGAGTGTGGGTTATTTTTCTTTACAAAAGCTGAAAAATCATAAATATGACACAGCATAGCTGGAACTTCATCCAAAGGATTAAAATTGAACTAAATTGCAATTTTAATCTTTGCGCTTTGAATTATTGGTTTACTTCATTATAAATATCTATTACACGACATCTGAACTCAAGAAGAAAACAAAACAGCAATTCCTTTTCAAAATTATCTACACAGTTATAGCAAACATATACCAATTGTGAATTACTACTGAAATCCGTTGTCTCAAGCTGAATAGCAAAATATTTAGTTTGTTTTAATGCAAAAACTTCACAATTTTACTGAAGCTGATTTAAAAGATATTTAACTCGTTTTAGTGCGGAAACTACTCATTCCTTCACATTTTCTGCTAATGCAGAAATTTTTCCGACACTAGGTTTTACTGAAGCTGATTTAGTGCTTCGCAAATATATACTTTTTACCCCCAAAAATTCCACTTTTACCCCATTTGGGGTAATTTACCCCGGTTCCCCGACCACTGATCTAAGATCATGAACTTGCTAAATCATATCCTATGCAAATCAAATGAATTTTTGACACATGAAACGAAATTCTAAATCATTATTTGAATAAGTAGAAATATTCTCTTGTATTTAAATAATTTAGTAAAGTAAAGCAAAATGCGACATGCATAAGTTTAAAAAATAATGTATATGCAATTTCGGTCGTATTGTGTTATTTATTAAAATAAATGATATAATTTCATCTGCCAAACATATATTGTATCTTATATTGTTTTAATTTCTGGCACATCTCAGCTGGTTTTCGGCAATAATATTACAGATATTACATTTTTCTTATTTATAATCATGAATATAAATATTATATACTAATATTGTCTAGGCTCGCTTAAACTAATTTCAAATTTTAAGTGAATCGACATTTTTGGCAGATGACAGTTTTCATGTGTTAAAGTGTTTCAATGTCAACAAACCAACATGTTGTTTCTTTTGCAATTTTTTCGATTTATTTCTATAATATTACTATAGTTTTATAATACCCCACATCTTGAAAATTTCCCTCGACGAGCTCTAAAAAGATTTAATAAAATCCGAATGACCGTTTAGGAGGATTATCAATTCATACATCATTACAGAAGAATTTTATATATAAGATATATGTGTGCGTGTAATCTTTAGGTTTTTCGTTCAAAGTTGAAACATATTCTTGAATGTTTATTTGCAGAATATTAAACAAAATAAAATATTTATTCTATACGTTTCGACTCTGTATATGTGTCATAGTTCAGCATGTTTAACAAGCATAAATAAAAGAACACAACACACAATTTTTAAAAACGTTGTTTCAAAAAAAAAAAACAAAGCAATCAAATGAAATATTTAACTAAAAGTTAAACAATAAAATTATTTAGCCACATGACTGACGAAATTTGAATGTCACAAAATGCTGGCATTCAAAATTTATCAGTCGTGTGGCTACTACATAATTTTATGGTTTAACTTTTAATTTATTATTTTATTGGAACTCGTCTGACGTTCTTATATAGTTTTCTTTTGATATATGAATTAAATAAATATCAACTTCCCGAAGGAGATTTTTTTTGTTAGAAAATGCAATTTGCCTATCCGGTTAAGTTGTTGTAATTAGACATTTTTTATTTCATTATTTTAAGTCCTTCTGAACTTTTTCACACCATTATATGAACAAGAATTTTAGTGAATGTTTATATGTGATCAAAAATTTACCGTTCGCCTCTGGTCTGCTCCGATTTTAAAAATTTAAGTCATTTGATAAAATTCGTCATGATTCGTAATGACCCATGTTGATTAATTTTGCGATACAAGCGGCTGAGTTGTTTTTGAATAATTATAAGAAAAATGTATATTTTTGTCCACATTTTTTGAACCGACTTTGAATTTTGAATTGAAAAACT